GATATTGAAAAAGAATCAGTAGTTTCACAAAAACTTAAAAGTTAAGAAATTTAGTCTGATTATGTACTGCTGAGGTATGTTAGAATTTTCAAAACATGAGTGAACTGCGTTTTACTGCTGTGTTACTCTGGCTTAACACAATTTTAATCTTTTAAAACCTGAAACTGTTGCATTTCCCTTCCCGAGAAAGTAAAATCTATGTGTTTGCAGGGAAATTTCTCTGTCTTTATTTATTCATTTAGACTGGCTCACTCTCCCCACCCACCCCACCCTTTTCTTGAACATAATATTTGGATATTCGATTGAACATATACTATTCAAAAAAGTAGGGGATATTTGATTTTTAAGTGTTATTAAAGTCACCTAATGAAACTGACGAAGAAACAAATGACAAAATGAAATGAAGTTCACATTCATCGATTTATTCCAAATGATCGTTAGACTAAGTAAGGCACAGACTGACCATTATAAGGGTAAAATGATACCCGGGGTCAAACAGCAAAGTTACCACAGCATCACAACCAAGTCAGTAACGGGTAAATCCTCCTCTGTTTGCCAAACAAGCATTGATCCGACGTGGCATACTCCTAATGAGACGTCTAAGGTCATTTTGGTCCAGATTGTCCCATTCCTGTTGCAACGCAGCAGCAAGTTCTTGGACATTGGCAGGACGTTGTTGACGTTGACGTAACCTCTGTCCAAGCATGTCCCAGACATGCTCGATGGGGGAGAGGTCGGGACTCAGTGCTGGCCAAGGTAATGTGGTGATGTTCTGTTGTTGGAGGTAACCTGTAACGATCCTGGCCCTGTGACATCTTGCGTTGTCATCCTGGAAGATGAAACGGCGGCCATGCGAACGGCACAACATGGACTGCCAAGATGTTGTCCCGGTAGTACTGGCCTGTAACACGCCCTGCAACAACATGTAAAGCCGTTCTTCCAGCAACAGTGATGCCTCCCCACACCATAACAGAACCACCCCCAAATCGATCATGTCTGATGACGTTAACGTCTTGGAAGCGCTCGTTTCGACGACGCCACACCCTCCTACGTCTGTACAAAAAATCAACAGTGAACCTTGACTCATCTGAAAACATCACATTGACCCAGCGTCGATTATCCCAGTGTTGACGATCCCTACACCAACGACGTCTTGCCTGAATGTGATGATCTCTCAAACAAGGGATCACGCGAGGACGTCGGGCGCGAAGGTGACCCCTATGCAGTTGATTCCGAATCGTCTGGCCACTCACTCTCACACCAGTGTCTGTTTGAAGACGAGCGCTGATCTGATTTGCTGTGATGACACGATTTCTCAAGGCCAAGGTACGGATAAATCGATCCTGGGCTTGAGTTGTCGCCCTTGGTCGACCTGGGCGTGGTCTGTCCTGTACAGATTATGTATCACGGTATCTGGACCATAGCCTGCTTATGACAGACTGAGAAACATTCATCGTCCGCGCCACAACCGCCTGTGTTGTGCCGATCTGTAGCATGCCAAGGGCACGTAACCTTTCATTTTGGGTAAGCCGACGCATATCAAAATTTGTTTTCTGGTCACTAAAACAATTAAACTGATGTTTCCACCCTGGAATTCAATGCCACAAAGACTGTAACATTCAAAGTCAGAGTCGTGCAAATCTTGGGTTGGACCCCCATGATGATCCCAAGCATCACCAGCATTCCATGCGGTAGCTATTGGTGCGTTTGGGCGTCACATGTAACTGGAAATGTTTCTTCTGTTAGGTTCTATAGTGACTTTTTTCGTAGTCATTTGCATATTTTAGTATTATGCCCCCAAAATCAAATATCCCCTACTTTTTTTGAATAGTATATTATATTGACTCCAAATTAGCAGTATTTGGATTTTGTGCATGAATTTTATTTTGCACAAACAAATAGTTACATATAAGATTTCAAGGATTTCTAAGACTTTTTGTTTATGGCCAAACATGTAATCCTATGACATTTCTTCCAAATGAGTCCACACCTCAAAATGGATATGTTGTAAAGGTGTCTTTTTGGATGAAAATCTATTATTTGTAGTGATCTTGTAATATATGGCACTTACATAGCAATAAAATAGCAATTAATAGTCTTTTCATGCTCCTTTTATGCTATGAATTATGTCACAACTCTGGTTTTCCACCTCATTTTGTCAGGGAATTGATGTAAAGACTAAAACAACTTGCTTCCACAGAATTTACACTATGTAATTTCAAGGACACATCTGATTGTTAAAGTGTTTTAAATACTGAAATATTGCCCTTTTATTAGAGTAGCAGGGTATCATCTAAATACAGCATTTGTTTTACATTTATCAATCCATATTTTAATAAGTACCTGTGTTTATATGTATGTATATAAGCCAGGGATAGAAGAACGTGGCTATTAGCCATATTCTCTCAACAGTATTACTTATGTGGACACAAGTTGGATTTTATTTTACCACAGTGACATTCTTAGGGGGCGGGCTTACAAGTTTTATTATAGTTCCTTACAGTTACCTTAAATTTAACCAATTTGCAGCTTGTCTTCTTGTATACTGGCCAAGGTTTCTAGAAATAAATGCCTTTCAACTCAAACTTTCCAAGAAATAGGCAAATATTGGCATTTTGAGACATACAAAGTGTACAAAATGGACCATTTTGTAGAAAGTCAATTTTTGAAAAATATTCCAATATTTTGAATATTTTTGATGTGACTTGTTTGAAACTCTTTAAATCTTTTTGCAGAACTCACATTTTGACAAAATTAAGAAAGAATCTTCAATTCTAGAACAAAATGCGCATGTACCTGAGCTGCAACCCAGTATACAAAACAGTACATAACTTTAAAAGGTCACCATTTCTGCAGTAATTGTTTTTTGGGTTTTTTTTGTTTTTTGGGTTTTTTTTTTATTTTGTATTATGATAATGTGAAGCCATAAAGAAAAAAATTTTGACGATATATAAAACCATATAGGAGGCAGACCGCCATTAAATTTCACCATCTCGGTACCCATAAATTGTAGTTCGTCTATTTATAGCAATTCTCTCTGTGTCTCTTTTCTCCCCTTTTGAATGCCCATTTTTGTTGATTTTTTGGTATAGAATGGACGAAGAGGGTTTGAATTAACGTTTTCTGCCAGGTTTTGGTAAATATTCATGATTTTGAGGCGGAAGTTTAACAGAGATATCAGGTTGGTTACGGTGATATATGTACGGCAGATAGTTACATGTTTTCAGTATGCTTCTTCAAGTTTGCATGTATCTCAAAATTTTGGTGGTCAACCTGATACAAATTTTAGTTTAAAGACATAACCATTTGTTCATCTGTCTGTAGTGAAAAGCATTCAGCCCAACGAAACTTTGGGGGAAAAGTTGGAGGTTGGCAAAGAGGCCAGAATTAACATTGAAGTCAGTGGGGAAATTAATGGTGGTCTGCATCCATTAACGATACAAGGAGTTATCTCCCTTTATGCCAAATGTCAATAATTATTGATAATAGTATTTAGTTTAAACAATATTTTATTCAATAAATTGAACAACAGGCAAGGGCCTATATAAGTTCTCTCCAAACAGCATTTATTTTATAAGCTGTAAACTTATATTTCAGATAAGATTTGGGGGTAAACTGCTAACAAATATTTAAACTGAAACAAAGCATCTATAAATACTAATTAATTTTCTCACTAAAATATATATATGGCAAAAACTAAAATAATACTGTATTGTAATGAAAATAAAGGAAATCAAATGGGGTTTAATGTCTTACTGTTCCGCACCAAACCGTATAATAAAGTTGAGCATTCGCCAAGCATTATACTATTTGCCCAAACAGCGACGTTACGGCGTACTCTTATTTCGAATTCCATCTGTCTTGGGGTTCTTATACGTGCACGCTGAAGTGTACACTAGACCTCGGTGTTAAGTCCCATCCGAACGACTAGTCGCTGCCCTCGTCGGGCCCTCCGCCCTGCACCACTGACAAGGGGAAACCACACCGGACCAGGATCGAACCCCGGACCTCCTGGTTAGTGAGCCAGTGCCTTCTCTGTGACACTGCTCCCTTGCAATGATGAGAAAAAGACACTTGCATATTAGTTGTTCATGTACAATTATTTACGGGAGCCCGGGTGGGTAAGTGAATAAGATTCTGGCTCGTTAACTAGAAGGTCTCGGTTTCGTTCCATGTGGTGGCCGAAAACATTCCTCGGGAATTTTCGGCCGCTGTTACCCCTTGTCAGTGGTGCAGGACGGGAAGCCTGGAAAGGACAGTGCCCAGTCATTCGGATGTTCAATTTATTGAATAAAATACTGTTTAAACTAAATATTGTTATCAATAATTGTTGACATTTGGCATAAAGAGGGTAACTCTTTGTACCGTTAATAGGTTTCCAAAATTTCTTGTGTAACCATGTCTTTTATATACTGGGTATTCTTGTTTAAATTAAAATTTAACCATTACACTATTCTTGGCCAAGGATGAAGACATTGGGTATTTTCGCCAATATCTAATTTTATGTCAACTTCAGAATTGTTAGTAGAACTATAGCATTTACTTGACAATTATCACGATTTCCTTAACACGACAGAGGCTACGAAATGAAAAGCAATAGGCTTTAAAGTTCTACCCCGGCTCGGCTAATGGAGGAGGGCATACGCCATACAGTGTGCTATGCGGAATGCTTTCAAATTTGGCGTGAAGCATTGGGGTCATGAGAGGATTAACCCTATTGATATTTAACTCCCCGCGACCTTCAGTTCCAGGCGTCTGAAAAAGCATGTGAACACTATAGAGATTAGATTTCTTGACGGCATTCCTTAGCAAATCTGATCAACATCCATTTTTTCTTTTCAGTTAAGCTGTAATTGAGATATAGCACCTGTATGGGCGTATATCCGAGCTTTGCGCGGCTATCTTTAAATGATTTATTTTAAAATTGGGTGTGAAGCATTGAGATCTTGAGAGGACGGAACCTATCGATATTCAGCATCGCATACCCCTCTTTTCTGGAGGTATGCCCCCATTTCCGAAAACTCCGTCAATGCGACAGAACCTGCAGTTTTTAACAGATTTATTTTTTCAAATTGGGTGTGAAGCATTTAGGCCATGAAAGGACGAATCCTATATCGATTCTGTAACCTTCCATTACAGAGTTACCGATAAGCTCTTGAACACAATAGAAGCTACAGTTTTTAACAGGCATAACGGATCCTTATCAAATTTGGTGAACAACCATGTTTCCTTGCGGATTAGCTGCTGTCTATGGCTATCTTTCTTTCTTGGCAAAGCAACCGTGTGGGCGTATTTCCAACCTTTGCGTGGTTATCTTTTAGATTATTAATAGAGCGTGTCCATACTACTGTAACGAGTTTTATACCATATTACGAATTACAATTACACAAAACATCTCAGCATCGATATCAAGTCACGAATAAAACTCTTGGCTAGAATATATATAATACAAATATAAAAAAACAACATTTTTTGCTTTAATAATGTTGAAATATGTAAGATCACATTAGTCTTAGAGCTAGTCACCGTATCTTCTATTTCTCGCGGCCGAGTAACACTTAACACTTACATTAGATAATAGATACACATGAAAACTTTCCATGATACAATCAATCTCATTGGTTGAATGCTGTAAAGGAGATACAAATCAATTACGGTCTCTTCTTCTTCGTTTCTGCCTGCGTCTCTGTTTCCTTTCTTTTGATATTTTGGCTGAGTTCTCTGGTGTAAAGGACTGCTTGACGTTTTCAGGTCGCCTTCTACTAGAAGAAGGTATCACTAATCTGCTTTCAGGGGTGTCAGATCTAGCAAAGGGTCGCCTCCGGTTTTTAATTTCATGGGGCACTTTTCGTGGTAAGAAAATGGGGTTATACAGGGTATCTTCTTTTGGATAGTCCAATTGTTCTTCGGACAATGCATAAGGTTCACCCGTATCATCGTCACCGCCCTCTTCATTGTCCGCATCATCACTACCATCTTCTTCATCTTCATCAACAACGTCTTCATTAGAATTCCCATATACAATACCACTGTTCAGTGCCATAGTATTATCTTTAGCAGCTGACCTAACTGACAAATCGTCATTTGATATACCTCGATGATCAGCTGTCGTATGTCTGAGAGACATATGGGCTATAAGTTCCTGTGTTGTGGAAACTCGTTCTTCTTTTTGAGTCACACTGAAAAAGTAACAAAATTTAGATCGTATTTGTTGTGTCTGAATAGAGATGTAAAATGTATTATTCAGTCAAATGCCATTTTCTCAATTTAGTTTTTAGCTATCCGTGCATATTACTGAATTCTGTTATTACAATATCACAATGAATTGAAGCTTAAAGGAGCTAAACTCAGTCTTAAAACTATGATATTCGAAATTAAAAACACGAATTAGAATTCCATATTGGCCCATTTAAATCAAAACTGATGCTGTTATCTTACCGTGAAAATATGGAATCCTAAAGTCCAATATTTAAGACACAGTGAATATTTTAAAATCAGTACAAGACGTCTTGTACTCTATGGTTTCAAGCGTCATTTGTAATGAACAAAAAAAGAACATATCCCGGAAGCCAATGTAGAAGTAATTAAAAATGGCTGATTCACAAACGACAAAATAATAATAAAAAGAGACGTATAGACTACACCGACTGCCGTTCAATTTGACTTTTTCACGTATTTCACAGGACAAAATTAATTAGAAATTACAATAATTTTTATGTAAATCATTTTATATACGCTCATATTAATGTGCGTATTTAGACCCATTTTCGTCTATTTTAAGGTTACAAGAGAAGCGAAAAATAAATGATTAAAAACAGTTATACCACATTGTTAAATTACTTACTTTCTTTACAAAAATATATTATTGTATAAGTAAATGTTATGTGTATTTCAGAATAATTTATTTTGCGAAAAGCATTAGAAATCGTTCAATCCAATTAATAAGATATGAATAAGATATTTCTAAATATAACAAAAGCAAAGGAATCAGATTTCTATTATTAGATAACACAATGAAGTGTGCACATAAGATGTTGTTAATAAGGCAATTCATATAACGATGATTAAAAGTAATGATGATGATAATGACAACGACATTTACACCACCACAAATTCTAAAATACCGCATTACTATTGATTATAAGCAAAACTTGTGTAGAATTGGCGTTCAACAGGAATATGAAAACAATGTATCGAAGCATCCGATACGGAAGTGTCCTTCACTAGATAAATATTGATGTAGATAAATAAAAGAGACACTGTCACTGTTTTCATCTAAATCAATATTGAAGTAGATAAACAAAAGAGACACTAACAATGTTTTCAGATGAATCAATATTGAAGTAGATAAACAAAAGAGACACTAACGCTGTTTTCAGATCAATGTTGATTATAACTGCTGGTTTTTACTTTATACTTGATTAATGGCAGAATTTCCATAGTTGATGGATTTAAATTTGATTTAAAAGAGAGAGGATTGAAAGACGTTTTTATTAAGCTAGACGGCAGCTTGTTCGAAAGGAAAACTTGGCTGTTCATCACATATTTTGATAAGGCAAAGGGAAGGTACCTCCGTTAATTTGAAGAAATTGAAGAAAATCTTTTTAAAAAATATGTAGCATCTATGGCGTTAACAAGGCTTTCGGAAACGGAGGGGTGGGGGTAAATCCGGATCTGAAGGTCGCGGAGAGCTTAATGTCAATAGATTTCTTCCGCTCATGACCCCAATGCTTCATACCAAATTTGAAGCAGTTTTATTAAAAGCTGTGGCCTCTATGCGTTCACAAGGTTTTTCTGTAAAGGAAGGGGTAATCCCATTTCTGCAAAGGATGGGGTAACCACAGAATTGAAGACTGTGGATTGCTGAATACCGACCGATATGGTTCGTCCTGTTACAATGTCAATGCTTCACACGAAATTTGAAACAAATCCGATAAAAACTGTAGCTCTTTACCGCGATTACAGGTTTTCAGCAAAGGGCTGGTAACTTCAGAACGGAAGGTTCGTCCTGTCATGAACCCAATGCTTCGGGCTAAATTTGAAAAAAGATCACTTAAAAACTATATCCTCTATCGCGTTCACAGTTTTTTTGGCAAAGAGGGGGGGGGGTTAACTCCGGAACGATTAGTCGCGGAACGTTCATCGATAGGATCCGTCCACTCATGACCCCGATGCTTCTCGCCAACTTTGAAAAAGGTCAATTTAAAACTATTGGCACTATCGCATTTACAAGGTTTTCGGAAAAAAGGACATAACTCTAGGACGCAAACCACAGTGATGACATAATACGCCACTAATGAAATGTGGGGGTATAAAAATCTGTTATAAACTGTAGCCTCGATTGCGTTCACGGGGTTTTCGGAAAAGGGGGCATAATTTTGGTACGAAAGGTCGCGGAACGCTGAATATCGATAGGGTTGGTCCTCTCATGACCACAATGCTTAGCCTCTATCGTGTTAACAAACCAATTATTGACGGGCGGGCGAACCAACGAGCGTACAGGGTGATGACAGAATACGCTCACACACAAATGTTGGCGTATAAAAAAATAAGCTTTTAAATAAAAGTTTGGATCAAATGTAATTCGATATTATTCACTTTCTACATGCATTTTAATGATTTAGAAATAGTATGTATGCGTTTTTTTTATGTACATTTCTGAACGTACCGAAACCGATGGTTCATATAGATCTGCATGCATACTTAAAGATTTTAATAATATCACACTGCTTTTAACGCTCTTAAAGGGACTATCCCACCCCGATTTGAACAGTCTCAAAAATAAAAGTCCGAGTATGTATGAAATTTAGATGAATGGTGTATTTACCCTCCCTAAAAATTTCAGCTCAAAATATTGAGTCTTTTGGACGTGAACGTCAAAATTGCTTATCCTTTTTAAGATTTCGGGTCAATTTTTCCGTTGGCTGACTTGATAATCGACTCCCGTTCCTTTAGAGGTCTATACAGTGAATGACCCATGTGCTGTACTTAATAACGAAAGCTAAATTTCATCTACACGTTATTTTTTATAAAATAAAAGGTTTTATCCGGACATCCATAATACAGCTTGGGACTCCGGTCTCCGTTTCCAGATTAAGACTGATGGAGTTAAGTTGTTTGAAAACGTATCACATATATTGAGTTAGTTGCTCGGCCCTAAGGTAGAGGATTTTAACACAAAATCAAGCAGTTTTACTCTCTAAATTATTATCGGGATTGGCTCTTTAAGTAGTGATAAAACGATTTCAAACTTTTGAGATTTTTAAATCTGTCAGGAAATGGGTTTATTACGTTCGTTGGTCCGTAATTATTCTGAAATCAAAAGAAGAAAAACAAATGTAGGACTTTTGTTTACTTCAAAACTAATAAAACGAATATATCTGTGTTTACAGTTTGTTTTATATGATCTATTTAACATTTCATATTATCAGACATATTCTTCAGTATTTATAACCTAATAAATAAGATTGTCGTACTTACGTTAAATGTTGCTCAAAGCAGCATTTCTGAAAACTATTTGCACATATGCGTTTCCCGCGCCTTACTATCTCTCGGAAATCTTTAGCTGCCAAACGACAACCTTTCCAGAAATCTTGTTGGTGTGATTTTTCCGCATATATTTGGCCTTGTTGACAACATGCCAGTCGTAAACTGGATTTCCATAACTTTTGCGCCAGTGCTGAAATAAAGGTAAACTCCCAATTAAACTCGTATCTTGTCACCTTTCTTGTCATATTTTTTTCATATTAGCAATTTAAATAAGAACAATAACGCGGACGTTCAATATCCACAATTAGTGCAGCAGCTAACTACATAAGAACAGTGAAATCGTTCAAATGTGGATACAAGTATCAACAGTGGTATAAATACTCCTTGGGGACTACTCTTTTGAAAAATCCCATTAGCCACTCGAAAATCGCAGATGGCGGCCATTTTCAAGATGGTCGACTGCTAAAATGTCTCTTCCATTGATTATATTTAAAAATTGAAATGTACAAAGTCCTAATACCGATAATGGATTAAAGTTAATTAGCCTGTACTAAAATTTAGAGGGGGGATGCCGGAGGGGGGGACGAGTGTTTACAATCTTAAAATACGGGTCTTAATACGAAATTCCAGTTATCATGTTATACATCACTGGAAAACATGTTTCTATGGCTATTTGAATCTATCAAGTATTTCCTGGCACATTCATAACTACGTACTTTAGAGCAAAAAAAAAATCCTCTTTGTTTTGTCGAAAGAAATGTATCGCTGTCCAACAGTAACCTAATTACTAAATATAGACTATACTTTCAATTCATCTTATTTATCGAAGGCTCGGTTTAGCCATACCAATCACATGGTTTCATTGCTGGCACTGTCGTCCAGCGAATTTCTTATAGTTTGCCATGTTGACTGCCTCAATAATATTGAGTCAATATCGTGTGGTAAATATCTTATAGTGTGCTGGCTTATAATGTGCCAGGTTGATCTCGACCTCTTTCAGTATATGTTAATAAGTCACGTAAATGTAAAATATAACAAGGGAAATGTAAAATATAGACAAGTCAAAAAAAAAAAAAAAAAAAAAAAACATTTAAAAAAAAATATTTGACATATTAAATTTGACGCTTCACATTTAACTTTGCCCTTAGAGGTATTTTGACTTGATCATTACTGGAAATTTTTTTTTAGCAGAGCATTTAATATTGGCAGCGATACCCTTCCATACAATTGTGGCCTCTTGAGGGTTCAACAACCTTCGTACATATTTCACAGCGTACGTACAGTTCCTCCCAAATTTTTTGGACCGAAATCGCCGCTACACGGTAAAAAAAAACTCTCAGAATTCTCTTAGATTTCACGGTGAAATTTCGCTTGATTCCGCGACGATTTTTCTCTAAGATTTGCTAGGAATTCACCGTGTTTCTCTAGGAATTCGCCGTGTTTCTTTAGGAATTTACCGTGTTTCGATAAGAATACATCGTGTTTTGCCGTGCTTCCCGCAAGGAATTCGCGAGCCTACCTTAAGCTAGGGTCGAACTAATATTGTGTATAATAAATTAAAGGAGTTGTAATATAGTAATGCTCCCGGGAAACGTGTACATGTATAATGTACAGGCAGGTTTGAATAACAAATGAGTAAGGTAATCTCGGGAAGACATTTATCGGCATTCTGTATCGGTTAGGATTTTTTCTCCAACGCACTTTATACATACATAACGCCGGACAAAATGTATGCAAACTATGAACAACTTACAATTTTTTAAACATATCAATTCATCTTCGTTTATAACTTAGATGTAATCCGTCAATTTGGGGCTGCTATCAAATCCAAACTTTAAATTATATACGATGAGCTTTTACACATTACTTCATTACTCGCAGCTTTGGTTAATCTAAATCAATCATCCATACAGCACGTACAGTAAATCACTCCGCGGGTCGCTTAACGGTATGTTACGTGGTCAGAAACGCGCCAAAAGATTGGGACTACATGTATATTCTTACGCTGTTTTACTCGGCGAATAATATCCGCTTTGACAATATACATCTACTTTATGTCACCCAATTCATTTCGGTGGGAGCAGATATTGAATAAAGCCATTTCACACACACATACGTGTACATTACATGCGCCTCATATATTTATACAATATCCACGAGTGTGTTAATTCTCGTCTTCACCCCGTTATAATTTACTTATTTTGAGTACACTTTCTGAATGATTCCATTCTTTTGTACGTCCAACTTGTCGATTTCCTACTGCATATACATGTACCCTGCAGTCCATGCGAAATGATATTTTTTTTACTGGACATTTGGGCAAGTATTATTCCAACTATTGCTGGACCGAATGAGATTTTACTGGTCCCAAAAAGTTCATACCAAAAATATGCATAAAATAAGTAATAATGACCTAAAACTCGAAAAACAACAAACAGTATTTTCATTCTATTGTTACTTAATATTATCTATGATACACGTAAATCATTATTATTTTCTATCAACAATAGCTTGGACTTATAATTAAATTTTTATCGCGCCAATATTTACAATCGTTTTACTGTTCTATAAATAGACCGCGTAAAGAAAATATAATCCCTTAGATGACAATCCAGTCTACCAGAAGCCAATGTTATTAATACAAAATAAGGACTTTCGTTTTAGTTTGGATTAACCTAGCCTACTACTTACTAGACTAGCTCGATATACGGTACTACGTACTCGAGATAAGATTTTGTTTACATTTTAAACAATAGTGAAATTAACACAATAAATTAAACGAGAATTCAACAGTCCGTGCACGAAGTGCCGTCAGTCAGTGCCAATACGGCGATGATTTAATATTTGTAAGTTTAGTGTCCGTTAACCCTTCCACAAGCAAATACGTCCACGGTTAAGGTAATACCGGTACTTGACTTGCATATTATTTAATTGATTAGAATAGATCACTTTCACTCATTGGTTGTTTATATTGTTTTATTTACCTAATAATCAACTAGCTTGGCTCGCCATCCCGACAGCGATTGGTTCGAGTTCAAATTCTTTATTCCTTTAAGCCAAAGACTCATCAGGTATAACATATAGTACAAACAAATAAATAAATACAATATGTACAAAAACAATATAGTTCACCGATGTTTTTGTAATAAAGAACAATAGTATTGTTTGTTGATTAGCGTTATGATTTTAGACAAAATGGTAAGTTCACCAATGTTTTTGTAATAAAGTAGACCCATATTGTTTGTTAATTGACTTTATCCCATGATTTAAAAAATTAGCGATGGTTAATATTGGCTCCAAAATAATTCCTTAATTTGCGCCGGAGCCCCTTTTAGATTAATTGAATTCGCATAAAAACAACAAAGAGTGGCTACGTGCGATTTTATTCTTTGATCTTGATACACAGGACATTTCTGTTATTCAAACAAATCTGCACGAGAATGACAACATACAAGTTGACAGTTACCATTGGTTTGGGGTTCATGAAGAATAGGCTCTTCTATCGAGCCTACAGTTATTCTTTTCAAAAATAAAATGAGTGCCTTGGATTTTTGTGTGGATTTGATAGCGGTTATACTTTACTAATATTCTCTGACATCGGAGACTTGTGTCGCGTTCATTTCATTTTTGCGGTAAGTACGAGCTTCTTATGTCTGATTTGAAAGCGCTTTCGACTCCCGTTGCAAGTTCTATTTGTCACTTTTGTGACTTTCGCAGTGTACCCCCTCCCACCCATATTATTTTAATACGTCATAATACATTATTATCATATACCGGTGACAGTCAAGATTTGCTAAATACTTTTCGCCAAGTAACACAGCGTAAGAATATATAGTCCCCGTGTCGAACCCAACATCTCATGTTTTCGCGCGTTTCTGACCACGTGACGTACGGTTAACCGCATTGCGAAGTGATTTACATGTATGGCACTGTGATTTATGAATGGTTGATTTAGATTAACTGAAGCTGCGAGTAATGAAGTTATGTGTAAAATCTCATCGAATATAATTTAAAGTTTGGATTTGATTGCAGCCAATAAGATTAAATGATACGTTTAAAAAATTGTAAGTTATTCATTGTTTGCATACACGTACATTGTGGCACCACGTTATACATGTACAGTGTGTTAGAAATACGACCGTAGCTGCCTCGCCAACGGTTAACATATCTTGTATTCAACTTAAATAAATTACATTTTTCGTCAACATGCTTACATCGGGATGATATCGGCACTCAAGCGATTCGCCGTGTTTCACCGCGAAACCCCATAATTCACCGCGAAACACCCTATTTCGCGAAGATTTGGCTAGCTGCCGTTTCGCTAGCGATTCTCCAAGATTCCTCCGTGAAATAGAGTGTTTTTCCGCGGTGTTCGGCGATTATAGTCCCAAACTCCAGCACTGTAGTGTAACTAACGTACGAAAATTAAATGGTAGCTGGCTTTTCTTTTTCACTTCTCTGCAAGTAGGGTGAGTCTGTCGTTCAGATTGATTTCACAGTTACAGGTAGAAGGTAGGATGTCATAACCCAGGAAGTGGCGATCCGCTGCGCACCAAAACATAACCTATCTGAGATATGTGGGACATATATTTTAAGTTGCATAAAAATCGGACGGACGGACATAAGCGACAACATAATACGTCCACAGGAAAATTTGTTGCATAAAAAATCTTCTCAATCGGTGAAGTGGGTAAAATTATCTGCAAAAAGCCGAAATTAGAAGCCATATTGGAAAATGGCGCCCATTTTGAAAGCGGACCACCTTGCAATTTTTAGTGATGGTATCCAGATTTGAAAGATTTTGACACTTAGCTGCCCCAATAAATAGGACTAATCTTTGTGGTGAATAAATTCTAAAATCTGGCCTTTAAATGCCCTAAAGTAGCTATCTTTAAGAGGACAGTGTTGTTCAAATCAAATCATCTGCCCTGGTCTTGATTGTAGCTAAAGTCTACGAACCAATCTCAAAACAGTTTACAAACCAGTGGTTTCGCGTTCGTTTTTATAAGGGTAAATAACCATATTCATGTCCATTTATGTAAATGGCCACAGATCACCAATGATTACCCCATTGATCGGCTCTAACTTTTTCCCAAATTTTCGTTGGGTAGAACGCTTTCTACCACAGATGGAGCGAGTTGTGGCAACCTCTTGCCCAAAAGCACGTATGGGGTTCATCATGAAAACCTTGAGATACACAAGCTGGAAGATGAGACAAATAAACATGCAATTTTCCGCCCTACATTTTAATCTAGCCAACCTCTTAACTCTTGTATCCTTCCGCCTCAAATTCATGAATATTCACCAAAACCTGGCAGAAAATGTATATTCAAACCCTTTTCTTCAATTCTACACCAAAATGTCAAGAAAGATTGTCATGCAAAAGGGGGGAAAAGGAAGGGGGGGGGGCTAAAAACAGCTTTGGTCCTTGTTTGAGCTGTGTCCAAATAATGTATATATTTCGAATTCATTTATATTTAAAGGAGCTAAATCTCTAATACTGGAGACCTAAAATTGACACAAACAGGTCGCAACGCATATAATAATGTAATATGAATGTATATAAACTGATTTACATTCAATCGTTTCTGTTTTACTGTAATTTCTAATCAGTTATGTTCGGCGAAATACGTCAGAAGTCTCAATCGAATGGCAATCTCTAGCGTCTGGTTATTCCAGTCTATACCGATAGTATTTATTGTGCATGCTCTCCAGATAAGAATATGGCGTTACCGTTCTAATTTCTAACCTTATCTCTTGAAAGGAAGCCCTTGCGTTTTGCTTACTTTACCCGATGACAGTTACTTCCCTTTGCCAACTTCCTTTGTAATTAACGATTTATGGGATTGGTCGAGAGTAATAGTACAATCATTCAGGGCGGATAACTTGAAAACGTCCCCCCCCCCCCCGATTAATCCAGGGGTTAGTGGTATGAGACCACTCAGGAATGAGACCACTGGGGATACCGAGGATGATCTCTTAATGACTACGATGGTATTGGGAAAGTTTAACTGGGAAACAATGATATTGATATGAAACAATATAACTTACTTTGAACTGTTATTTCTACTGATGATTTAATAGGTGTTTTTTTTGTGTTTGATTGCCTCGGTAGATATGCGGGTGCCATGTCTCCTTGTCTGGGTTTTATCTCTGCTGATATTGGTAGATATGTTGTTTGAGGAGGACGACTAGCTTTTCTTAGTAACGGAATGCGACTAGCTTGTAATGTTTGTGGACCGGTGGTGAATGCAGATAAGGTAGTTGGATGATTGGATGTCTTTATAGCTGTGTTATGGCTATCGTCGACGTCAAATAATATTGTCTTATTTTTCTGAAAAGATTTGAAATTAAAACGAAACTAAAATAAGGATTTTCAACATTGACTCCGTGTACTTAAAATTTTGAATTTTAACAGATACTCATTTTACTACACAAACCAGCATATCAAATTTAATGAAATCAACACTTTTACTTTATAGTCAAAGCAAAGAGGTCTGGTCATTTTAATTAGTGTCTGTAGGCATTTCAATTTAATTTTTAAAAAAGCAGCTGTGTCTTCGATCCAAATAAACATGGTAGCCTACCTCTTCAATACTGTTTATTTCTGTGGGGTAATCAGCAATATCGTTAATAGGATCGGATTCATCTAACGAAAAATCCATTGAGTAATATTTAGTTCGAAGTGGTGTTTCCACATCATCCGACTTGTTGAAGCATCGATATCTAGATTCACCTGAACAGATGAATGAAATAATTGCACTATATTCCTGGGACTTCTTTATTTATATCAATCGTATGCATTTATCAATTCAACATTCTAGCCATTATTGGTGAATTTAGATAGGAAACAAATGGACAAACATGTTAGAATAAATATGAAATAGAATTACCTAATTTCCAACAACATTCAGCTTCTCGTTTTCTCATGTAATTATCTTTTGAGGTAGTAAATGGTATACTTGGATAGCCGTCTCCACAAAATTGATCTATACGATGCCTTCTCACGTCACTGAAGCACGTTGCCTTCTCCGAAACAGACTGAAACATAGTAATGAAAATCTATTTTTTAAAACAACGGCTTAAATTACCTAGATTTTTTTCTTAAAACACCACATCACGAGATGACGCTGTATTTTAGATTCCGGCTTATTTTTCGCCAAACCCCATTTATTATGCGAATAATAAATGGAATTTTGGAATTGAAGGCAAACTCGATCAAATTGGCGAGTTTACCTTTATCGTCCTGGTGCCAGTTGCTAACTGGAAAGTCAGTTTCATTATCCGTTAGTTTACGGACTGATTGAAGTTAATCCAAGAAAAGACTGTTCATTGGCTGAATTTGAAATTTTTAAATTCAATACACATGTACATGTATTTAACAACATCATACAAGTTAGTATATACAAGAAAACTTAAGACAGTGGAACAACTGTGCAGTCTGTTCGCAAAACTTGATTAACTGTAGAATTTAGTACAGAAAACACTATAACAAAACTATAGAATAATTTATTTTTTCTTTTACAAATTTTATCATAAATCTTCAGGACAAATTATGGGATTTGCACTACAGAAACTGTAGAATGTTTGGGGCTATTATTTCCTTCAGGCCCCCAAAATTCTGTAGAATACTATAGAATTTCATCCCATAGAAAATGGAATAGCCCCCTCCCCCCCCCCCATCGCCCATCCCTCTAGAATGTTCTATAGAAAATTACATTGGTAATTTGCTAAGGGTATACTTCGACTGACAGCCCACTAATGCCATCGTTAAACATAATGGCCAACACCAAGCTAACGGGGCTTCCAGCAAGAGACTTTCTCTCCGTTAAAGATAATGATCCATTAACTCAATGTTAACGAGTTGTTAAACGTTAACGGAGCTTTGAGCAACCGGCCCCTGATTAATTCGATCACTGATTGTCTATGTTCAAAACTATTATCAGCATCCATATTACATTATAAATAATACAGTAAGTTACCTCTTTACAGCATTTAACTACATCTGCTCGTCTTTGTTCAAGAGCTAATTCTATGTTAAATAATTCGACCAGGGTTGTATTCTGTAAAGCTCTACGTTCTAAAAACATAGGGCGCTGTAATATTTCATTAATGGTGAATGTCTGGGTGATTTTACACAACAGATTTAATCTGTCAGCTCGATTTAACTGAAAATGTATATGGATAATGGAATGTAAAAACATAGCAATGTCTTGACAACTAAACTACGTCGACAATTAGCTTTGTGACGGGATGAAGCAAGGTGGTCAATAAAGCACTAACTGCAAAAATTGATACTTGGCTCAAAACTTCGAAAGATTTCCCCCAGAGCCTCGAGAAACCAAGAATACCCGCATCTTTATCTTTAAAAAATCTTAAAATTTCTGACCTGCGTTTTATGCTAAAATCGATATAGGTGAGCCGAAAAATCCTATCAACTTAACAAACGCAATTCTCAAAAATTCTTACAGCGTGTACAACAATATTAAAAATGCAGTCGGGCGGACTGACGGAATATGGTGACGATATTATACTTCCACTCAAAAAGTGGGTGTATAAAAAACATGTTCAAAATTTAGAAAGTTTTGTGGCAAGGAAGAGCGTTTGACAAATTAAAATTGATCCAAAATTTGAATATTTACCATGGATAATTGGGGATAAGAAAGTAGAGATGTAGATGGTGTAGTATTAACTTCTACTCAAAAGGTGGGTGTATAAAAAATATGTTCCCAATTTAGAAAGTTTTGTGGCAAGGAAGAGCGTTTGACAAATTAAAATTGATCCAAAATTTGAATATTTACCTTCGATAATTGAGGATAAGAAAGTAGAGATGTAGATGGTGTAGTATTAACTTCTATTCGTAATTTTTCCACATGCCGCTCACCTTTAGACAAGTAAAAAAAAATGTATAGTAATCAGAATGCATGTAAATAGAGTTTCACTTCCACAATAAAATAATTGTGTCATTCTGGGACAAGCATGCTTATACTTTATTAATTTTGCGGGTACACAAGGTGGCTGTCTAGAAGTGAAACGAAACAGAACACTCAGATGAAAAAGAAACATGATTCGTTCAGTGTTCACCTCCCACAAAGATGCAATGTGTCAAACCAAAGTTTCTTACATTGTATCAAAAATCCCGAGCACTTTTGAATCGTGAGTTATATTAATAATTCAGCATTGCCTGTGTTATTTATTTTGAATCGTGAGTTATAATGATAATTCAGCATTGCCTATGTCCTGTATTTGGGGAAATACGAACTGACTGGAGCATGCATTTGTTTATGAATTCTAAACTAACCCCACCAGTTCTCTATTCTATCGCAGAGATTTGTTCCTTTAAGTAAACTTACCATGTGGACAAACGGTTCTAACTAGTTTACCATCAGTAACTTTATCATCATCATAATAATAGGTCTCACCATTTCTTATAACAGTTGCCCTGTACAAATAAACTCATAAATAATATTGTTTAAAATGTTGAGGTCTGGAACGGGGATTAACATTTCGTCAACATACTACATCAGCGATTTTGATCAAAACGTAATTTCTACTTCTATAGTTACTTGTGAGATGCAAGCAAGATGGGTAGGGGTAGGGGGGCTTGGGGTTGGCAATTTTGCCCGGACAAAAAACGGCGTTTTAAGCATGGCTTAATTATTGTATTATAATAATAAACTAGAACTCCGAAGGAGTACTGAGGTGTTTCGGTACGTCAGATCACGTCGGGTCACGCTTTGTCACGTCAACAATCAAGTTACATCATGAATTAAAGCGGAAATAACCAAAATTGAAATTAAAAAATCGGCTCCCTAAGAATTGTTGCCATTTGAAGTAGGCTGAAAACAAAAAAAAGTCTATATTAATCGAGTGAACTTCCGAATTTCAAAAAAACGTCAGTCAGGGCCCATCTGGAATCGTCCAAAGAATCAAAAGATGAAAACCCGAAGAAGATCCGTTGAGAAATAACCGAGATATGGGCAATCTGAGGTTACTCTTTTGTCCCATCCGTAAAACACTTTCTGTTCGTCTAAACTGACCCAATTTATATTTAATTAATAGATCCACGGAGGCCAACCATATCTACGTTGGCAGAATGTTTTCACCATGTACAGTTTTGACTGCACATACTGACTAAATCCCCCCCCCTAAAAATATATATATAAAAAAAAACCACTTACAGAAACAATATGCATTTCGACCGAAAGTCAGAAACACGTAATAAAAACATTAACGAACACAATACGTGTAATAATAAAAACCATTACGAAAACAATATGTGTTTCGACCGAAGGTCTGAAACACGTAATTATATTATTTTCTGAATACCCAAACAAATATTTTTCTATTATACTACCTAAATGTTACACAGCCACAATTTGGTGCTGTCCATTTAAATGATACTGTATTCATGGGTTGTTTATTTTCTGTCATAATAATCTGGGGACAGTTTCGGGGCTGGTATAAATACGCTGAATTTACATCAAAAATACCAGTTCCACAATCACTTATAGCATCAGCCTTTAACACGGCATCAGTAAATTCAATGTCATTCGATGATGATCGTAATCGCACTGCAACAAAGAAAAATTGAAACATTTTTATGCATATGTTAAAGATAGGTTCCCAGAAAAGTATTTATCGGGTGGTTATTTCCAATAAAAGTATGGCAGTTTTGGTATATATGGAAAGTAGAGGTATCCAATCTTACTAGAAAATACTGGATTCCCTGAAAAACAGGACAAAAATGTCAGGGTTCCCCTAATCGACAGCCCGACGATTAGGAGTATCTGCACGCGTGACGTCAAATGGTTGCACGCGGAGATTGAGCGCTTGATGTACATGTTGATAAACTTTATGAAGAGTTAGACGTACAACACTTTCTGAGATAAAATATCACGGAAAAAGACGCGGGCAGTGGATAATCCGAGAATTTAATTAGGTTTCGATATTTGTAATAAATAGCTAGCCTGGAGGTCGGGTGTTCGATCCCTGCATTGGCCGAGAAAGTTCATCCAGATTTTCCGGCGTGGTTCTCCCTTGTCAGTGATGCAGGACGGAGGGGCTGACAAGGAAAGCTGTCTAGTCGTTCGGATGGGACGAAAAACCGAGGTCCCGTGTACACATTGGCGTGCACGTAAAAGATCCCTTGACAGTTGGAATTCGATATAAGAGTAGGCCGTAGTGCCGCTGTCCGGGCAAAATTTCCCTCATAGCACACTGTATGGCGTATGCCCGTCTTCATTAGCCCAGGTTAGGAGCAGAACAGTAGGACGTTAAACTCCATTTCATTTCATTTCATTTCATTTGTAATAAATAGTCAGCGATTAAAGACAACATCGTCTTGTGTATGCAATGAATTCTCCCCCGACATCGCACCCGTAAGTCACGTGACACAAAATGACCTCTTTTGATCGATTTTTTATAGCAAGGATATTCCTTGACAATTACAATGTTTTGAGAAGGATTTGAAGCAAATTTATGATAAATTAATTAGTTTGAATATATACTATTCAAAAAAAGTAGGGGATATTTGATTTTGGGGGCATAATACTAAAATATGCAAATGACTACGAAAAAAGTCACTATAGAACCTAACAGAAGAAACATTTCCAGTTACATGTGACGCCCAAACGCACCAATAGCTACCGCATGGAATGCAGGTGATGCTTGGGATCATCATGGGGGTCCAACCCAAGATTTGCACGACTCTGACTTTGAATGTTACAGTCATTGTGGCATTGAATTCCAGGGTGGAAACATCAGTTTAATTGTTTTAGTGACCAGAAAACAAATTTTGATATGCGTCGGCTTACCCAAAATGAAAGGTTACGTGCCCTTGGCATGCTACAGATCGGCACAACACAGGCGGTTGTGGCGCGGACGATGAATGTTTCTCAGTCTGTCATAAGCAGGCTATGGTCCAGATACCGTGATACACAATCTGTACAGGACAGACCACGCTCAGGTCGACAACTCAAGCCCAGGATCGATTTATCCGTACCTTGGCCATGAGAAATCGTGTCATCACAGCAAATCAGATCAGCGCTCGTCTTCAAACAGACACTGGTGTGAGAGTGAGTGGCCAGACGATTCGGAATCGACTGCATAGGGGTCACCTTCGCGCCCGACGTCCTCGTGTGATCCCTTGTTTGAGAGATCATCACATTCAGGCAAGACGTCGTTGTTGTAGGGATCGTCAACACTGGGATAATCGACGCTGGAGCAATGTGATGTTTTCAGATGAGTCAAGGTTCACTGTTGATTTTTTGGACAGACGTAGGAGGGTGTGGCGTCGTCGAAACGAGCGCTTCCAAGACGTTAACGTCATCAGACATGATCGATTTGGGGGTGGTTCTGTTATGGTGTGGGAAGGCATCACTGTTGCTGGAAGAACGGCTTTACATGTTGTTGCAGGGCGTGTTACAGGCCAGTACTACCGGGACAACATCTTGGCAGTCCATGTTGTGCCGTTCGCACGACGTCATGGCCGCCGTTTCATCTTCCAGGATGACAACGCAAGATGTCACAGGGCCAGGATCGTTACAGGTTACCTCCAACAACAGAACATCACCACATTACCTTGGCCAGCACTGAGTCCCGACCTCTCCCCCATCGAGCATGTCTGGGACATGCTTGGACAGAGGTTACGTCAACGTCAACAACGTCCTGCCAATGTCCAAGAACTTGCTGCTGCGTTGCAACAGGAATGGGACAATCTGGACCAAAATGACCTTAGACGTCTCATTAGGAGTATGCCACGTCGGATCAATGCTTGTTTGGCAAACAGAGGAGGATTTACCCGTTACTGACTTGGTTGTGATGCTGTGGTAACTTTGCTGTTTGACCCCGGGTATCATTTTACCCTTATAATGGTCAGTCTGTGCCTTACTTAGTCTAATGATCATTTGGAATAAATCGATGAATGTGAACTTCATTTCATTTTGTCATTTGTTTCTTCGTCAGTTTCATTAGGTGACTTTAATAACACTTAAAAATCAAATATCCCCTACTTTTTTTGAATAGTATATATATTTTTAGGCCAAATCTATCATCAAATCACCGAGTTTGTACGCGGGAATGTATCTTTAATATAAATAAAACGTGTTATTATTATTCAATAATTAATATTAATTTAATTTATTCTTCGGGGTAATATACAGAGACACGATGAAACTGATTTGGTAGGACGTGCTGGTGAGACATAATGCAGCTGAAATTTTGGGCATAAATATAATCTGGACATGTTTACCGACATCAACAACAACCGACAGATGCCACTTAACAATGAAACGTAGGCCCAATGGGGCACAAATCAAAAACTAGTATTTGAGAGATGCGATCTGTGATTGCTTGTACGTGTTATAGTCACGATTCAGATTTACAAGATTAAAGCATATCTCTCAAAAAAGGTTTACAATCATCTATTTATAACGTTGTAGTTCACTTCATTCAAGAAATGCCATAACACCCACGGTTTGAAGGGTCTATTTTAGAAATAAGTATCAAGGCTCATAAATTTAGGTAAATATATTTTTAAAAACTACTACGTGTAGTGATGTTCCGATAATCTGTTTGAACATCGTTAATTGGCCGATACGTGGCCTATCGGGAGAAATCGGCCATTTTGCCGATACTTGAGCTGCCGATATCTGTTCAAAACGACTCGGTAATTACCTTTAAAATACTATCCGAGTTGTGAACAAATCATTATTTTGCTTGACACACGGTGCATCTAAATGGCCACGCACACGTGCGCGTTGCTATTTAGGCGTACCGGTAATACAAGACTCTCGTAGGAGACGTAAAAATGAAAGAATAAACAGAAACAAATCCTTACAGGTCTCCGTTATATAAATAGCCACGCGTTACGGTAACAGAAATAAAAGTTTCGGTTGCCGTGCGCGTTGCTATTTAGACGTACCGGTAATACAAGACTCTCGTAGGGGCTGTAAAAAGACAGATTAAACAGCACAAAATCCTTACCGTTCTCCGTTATTTTTTAAATCCTATTCACCGCACACTTTTTGAGAATGTCATTTCTGCGCATGTGCAGAGAGACATTAACGTACAACAGTCCACCCGATAAACCTTTTGATTGGAATAGGAAATAAGCCAATTGCATGATGTTCAAAATCATAGAATTGGAGAACACAGTCAGTACATCGCGGAGACCCCTCTTCGAACTGTTTTCAATGTGTGCTGATCATAAACTAGAACCATACCTAATTAGGCTATTGAATTTTTTATTTAAAGTAGCTAAGTCCGTAACTCAATATCATCCAAAATCTTCGTCATTGGAAACACGAATTTTTTTGCAATTTAAATCAGCATTGGTGTTGTGATCTTACCTGGAAAAGATGGGCTTCTGATATCCAATATTTAAGACAAAATAAACAAATTATCATTGGTACACGAATCGTGTACCATAATGCGTTTCAGCGCCATTTGTTACAAGGTGCTCAAAGAATGAGGCTAGACATATTCCACAAGTCATGTCAAACGGTGATATCGTGTTCTTATTTGGAGAGCATGCGCAATAAATAATATCGGTGTTGACTGGAATAACTAGACGCTAGAAACTGACTTGCGGTTGAGACTTCTGGCGTATTTCGCCGAACATAACTGATGACAATTCACAGTAAAACGGACACGATTGAATGTAAAACAGTTTATATAAATTCATATTACATTATTATATGTGTTGCTACCCATTTGTGCCAATTTCTAGGTCCAAAATATTAGCGATTTAGCTCCTTTAAATTAACAAATTTATTAACTATATGAAATAAACAATGGTCCTCAAAATAGTTATTTGTCTATCACGATTCTCGGTAATAAAACCAAAGATGATGTCAACAATGGCTCTTCTTTGCATACCGGGCTGGTATGAAGCGTCTTGTGCTGTTATGTCGCTTATCGTGAAATAGTTCCAAATATTACTACACCTGGCATGCTTTTTTTTCTGCGTTTTATCTAGTTCACTGCTGGTATTGTCTGGACAGTATCATGAGAGTAGAAGTTTTGGAAAAGGCGGGAAAATATCACATGGTTTACGCGTGATTGGAATGAAGGATGAAAGGGGGTATATCCCTTTGATGTCATGTGATTACTGTCAGACTTTCCGACTTCTAGAGTAGATGCCGATAAAAATTTAGAAATAATTAAGTGATTTGTATTGTTATGCTAGGCTACTTTTAAAATTTAGACATAATTTGTATCAATAAATAATAACTTATAATATAGATCACACTACCAACAAATGAGTTTCCATTAGATGGTTTTATTTTTAACTATAGTTTTAGAAATGGCGGAAGAATTCACGTGATTGCCACTGTTGACAGACAGGTCAGGAAGCTATCGCTTTGATGTCATTCATTACCGTATGAACCATTCCAACATCTATTATTGACTTACAGGTGCCGATCACTCTAGGGAATTATATCGTAATCAACTGTATGATAATCTCGACTTTATTCATTATTTGTGATTGCGTAGGAAGCGTGACCCAATTTTATTACTTCAAAACACAGCGTTCGTGTTTGATTCCCGAGGTAAAATAGTACCACGCGTT